ATGCTCATACTTTTCATGTTCATACTTTTCAGTTGGCCAACATTTCTATAAATCCTTTGTTTTTATTGGTCTTCAGTAATATTCTAATTTTCTGATATGATGAATTTGAGATTTTCATTTGTTGTCATTTGTAATCATCAAAATTAAACAAAATAAACATCTGAAATATATGAGTTTGTATGTAATGTATGAATATAATATACAAGTTTCACTTTTTAAATGGAATTACTGAAATCAATCTACTTTTTCATGATATTCTAATTTTATGACCAGCACCTGTATACCCTACACAGACTAATGAAATACTATCTTTAAAATTATCTATGTAAACAAACCTCATCACTTGTGAAGGTAGGTGATGCGGACGTCGTGGAAGACATTTTGTCCCGTAACGCTCGCCGTACTGTTGGGGGGGAGAAGCGGTGGGGGGAGATGTTCATGTTGCTGCAGTCTGGACGTTAGATGTCGCTGAAAATTACACACTGTAGCTTTAAAAACACTTTATTTACAAAATTCAAACATATAAACAATTGAAAAACAGTGATTGACTGAACAGATTGGGCAACAAAATGGTCAAGGAAACCATCGTTTTAGTCCAGGCATGTTTTTAATCATTCTGTTGAAACATGGTTGGAAATTTATATCGGATTTTAATTTATTTATTTTTCATAGAATTCTTTATTATTTTTGTGAGATTGAAGTTATTTTTCTTTGACCATTTTATTATTATTTTTTCTTTCATCAAACATAGGGGGGGGCAACTATTTTTTCCACCTACTTTGTAATTAATTAATGGAAATATTTATCTTTCATTTATTTTAAGATATATTTATTTGTTTGTTCATTTATTCATTCGTTAATTTATTTCTAAATCTTTTCCTTTTTTATCTTTTATTCTGTAAATCTAATATGATTTAGTATTTTTTTTATTGGCTAATTCACAACACAAGTCATCTCAAGGCATCAACAGATAAAAATTTAGGATAGTTTTACTTCTTAACCCCTTCTTTTTTCAGGACTTTTTTATATCATCTTCTGCTGTTATATTGAAATGCGGGGGCAGTTTTCTCATTAGGGCTGGTGCAGCTTATAGCTTTAACCACCATATAGATCATGTTTATCCAATCTAAACATTTAGTTTTCTGCAATATAGAAATACTGTTAGACTTTTTGCACAAAGCTGATTTTTCCAGTTGAGTTTATCATCAATATTAAATCCAGAGAAATCAAACTTGATATCTCCAATTAAATAGCTTTAGGATATAGGCTGCTCAGTGGCGCAGTGAGTTGCACTGCTGCCTGGGTTCTATTCCCAGGTACTCCAGCTTCCTTCCACAGTCCAAAACATGACTGTTAGGTTAATTGGCTAAATTAACTAAGTAAATCTCTAAATTCTCCTTAGGTATGAATGATTGTTTGTCTCTGTGTTGCCCTGTGATAGAGTGGGGACCTGTTCAGGGTGTACCCCGCCTCTCGCCCATAGACAGCTGGAGATAGGCACCAGCACCCCTTGTGACCCCCACTTGGGATGAAGCGTCTTAGAAGATGGATAGTTTTAGGATTATAATATGATGGTTATGTACAGGAAGGTTGAGATCCTCAACAATAACCTGGTTTAGAACTGTAAACCCAGCTTTATCTTAATAACTTGTAAACAAAATCTTCTTGGTGCTAAAAGAAGCAAAAAATGTAACCAGCTTTATAAAAGATGAAAGTGGGATTTCCTCAAACACAATAAAGTCGATTTATAGATTCAGAAAATAATGAAGGATGTGGTTGTCAGGGTGCTAGACTGAGCTACAAACACGCACACAACAGTCAGAGAGAAATTTAAATATATATATATTGAAATAATATAAAAAATATTTTGTATCATGTGTAAAAAGGCCCAGTGGATCCATGAGGGAAGGGGCTCAGTGAGCCCAGGATGGATCCCTGATAGATGGGGCTTAGTGACAGGATGGATCCCTGATAGATGGGGCTTAGTGAGCCCAGGATGGATCCCTGATAGATGGGGCTTAGTGACAGGATGGATCCCTGATAGATGGGGCTTAGTGAGCCCAGGATGGATCCCTGATAGATGGGGCTTAGTGACAGGATGGATCCCTGATAGATGGGGCTTAGTGAGCCCAGGATGGATCCCTGATAGATGGGGCTTAGTGACAGGATGGATCCCTGATAGATGGGGCTTAGTGAGCCCAGGATGGATCCCTGATAGATGGGGCTTAGTGAGCCCAGGCTGGATCCCTGATAGATGGGGCTTAGTGAGCCCAGGCTGGATCCCTGATAGATGGGGCTTAGTGACAGGCTGGATCCCTGATAGATGGGGCTTAGTGAGCCCAGGCTGGATCCCTGATAGATGGGGCTTAGTGACAGGCTGGATCCCTGATAGATGGGGCTCAGTGATAGGCTGGATCCCTGAGGGACGGGGCTCAGTGACAGGAGGGCTCGAGGGACGGGGCTCAGTGACAGGAGGGCTCGAGGGACGGGGCTCAGTGACAGGAGGGCTCGAGGGACGGGCCTCAGTGGCAGGAGCCAGGAATGGAAACGGAGATCCTCCAGGGTGGCTCGTCTCCTACTGTCCTTTTCCAAACACTGGTGCAGAAAATTCAGGCACTCTGCAAAGAGAAGCCAAGGGTTAATGGTCAGAAGTACAGGCGGGCGGTAACTAGCAAGGCACTTGCTGGTTATGTTCCTATACCTTGCGAAAGGTTTTTGTTGAACTTAATGAGGCCTCGTGTAAAGACTCTGGTGTCAAAGTGACGCCCGTGCAGCATTCGATAAAGGATGATGCCCAGCTGCCAAACTGTGGTCGTAGAAGGTCTGTATTTTTTACAGCTGAACCACTCTGGGGGGGCGAATGCAAGAGTACCTGGAATACAGGCAGTAAGAGCAGACTGTTATGCTTTGTTCGTCCATTTGGTTTCTAAAGGAAATGACTCAAAGAGGATCTCAGTTAAATGTTTAATAAAGTAGAAACCCACCACTAAAACGTTTGTAGACTTTGGTCGTCTGGAAGGTTCCACAGCCGAAGTCAATAATCCGGATTCGAGGCTCCTGGGATCCCATTTCCACCAGTGTGTTTTCACATTTTAAGTCTCGGTGGAAAATCTCCTTATTTTGGAGGTCTATGGCAGCGTCCACCATCTGCTTCATAAGAATCTGGAATAAAACAATGAAAAACGTCTTTATCATTAAAGATCTCATCTTCAGTTGTTGAGATTAAATAAAACTTTAACAAATGTATTCTCTCCTTAAAGATTTCTTTGGTTTTTATTTATTTATTTTTTACACATAAATGATTCAGATCATTAAGCAAAATTTATTATTAGAAAAAGATCAACTGAGTTATAAACAAAATGCATTTTCCATTGATCAGAGACAGAGAGAGAAGGTATCTAAACCCAGATGGATTATTTTCCCCTCAACCTAAAGACTGGTTGAGTCTCTGTTTGTGGCGACAGCTGACATCAAGCCTTCATGATAAGAGGCGTTAATCTTTTGTTTCGGCGCACAGGATTTTTATGGAGGGGATGTTGTTCCATTATTGTTGTAAGAAAAACATATTTTTGCCAATTGAAATTGGGAGAAAAAATAAGCAATGAAGGGATGAAGCTGAAAAACGTTTTAAGAAAAGGTTTTGAGGAAATTAAAATTTAGATTTCAGATATAATTTTTTTCAAATGTTTTATTTCAATTTTTTAAGATTTATTTTATGTATTTTTTTTTTTTTTTTTTTTGTCAGACTGAGTTTTTTAAATTGCATTCTTTTCAAATTTCATTATCCCAGATCACGTCTGGTCACATTTGGGGGCGGGTTTCCTCTGAAGGAGGGACCCATTAAAAAAAACACTTTTTGATTCAAACTGTTTCATTCCAGAAATGCATTTTTTAATACTTCCTTCAACTAAAAAGGTTATTTGCTTGCAACAATAATGTCATAAAATTCACTCCATAAACTTTTGCTCATCCTTTATTTTTTTGCTCTAACAGTCAGATTTTCCTCACTCAAAGTTTTGTTCCAAAAGGCTGTAGAAACGCCGCACATTTTTTCCTGACAGACATCTTCCTAAAAGTTCCCTTCTTTACTCATCAGCCTATAAATAGTTTTGCTAAAAGTCTTGGGGATCATCGGTTTGCTTTTTGATCAAACGTGAGAGCGGCCTTTGTTTTCTCTTTGTCTTGAAACTCTTCCATGGACGCCCCTTTCTCCACTCACCCAAACTGACCCCAGCGAGGCCTGCAGGGCGTCTCTGGATGAGCTGCTGAGCAGTGAATCTGGATGCTCCAGCTCCTCCTGGGAAGGTTCACCACTGCTCTCTGTTTTCTCCATTTGTCTAGAATCACTCTAAGTTTCTCACTCTTCAAAATGCTTTGTTTTCTTTACAGATTTCAATAACTTTGGTTTTCATCTGTTGACTTGATTTCAATGAACTTCATGATGTTTTAATTTCTGAGATTTTAGCCAGCTCCATGTTGTCAGACAGGTTGTACTTAAGGGACGCATTCTACAGGTCCGACTGTAATGAGCACTGGGTAAGAAAATTAAAGGTGCAGTCCAGAAAATAGACTTAAAAACAATACATTCTTTCACTCAGTGGGTTGGAATTTTTTATTTGTCTCTAATACAATTATTGTCATTTTGGAAAATGCCTTTTGTATTTAATCAGGTTTCCTTTGTATGATTGTACGATTTATTTCCTAATCTAAAAGGTTTGCAGAATAAAATAAAAACTGAATCTTCAAGTCAAACTAGGAAAGAAGTTTCCATCACATTTCCTCACTGTTAAGAACTCATTTAGTTATTATTAGTGGGTCCTTTTTATTATGTTACACATTTATTTAAGAAATGATGGTTTATTAAAGATAAACCATCATCAAAGTTGTTGCTGCAGCTGTTAAATGGAAAAAGCAGAAAAGCTCTTAGTCTGCCAGCGAATGCAGACGTAGCAAAAACATCCAACCTCCAGCCTCCCTACCCTGGCCATGTCTTCCTCCAGGCGACCTCCACTCCAGTTCACGTATTCCACAAGATCCATGGATGCTGGTGGCCTTTCCATCACAATGACCAGGTCCTGATCCACGTGGAACCACTCCAGGAGGGTGACGGCAGCAAACACCCCCACTGCATTTGGCTCACCTCCGGCCTTCTGCATGAGGGCCACCTCCAGGGGAACACCGTCCACCTTAAAAAAACCACAATGACCTGATTGTGTGACTAACAGCAAAGGAGAAATACTGTCTACTAAGATGACTGGGAGGCCGGCTGCTTCTAAACCAGTTCACTCACTTCACTCTGTCTGATTTGACCTATCTTCATGTCGACGTACTTGATGGCCACCTGTTGGACACAAGCACAAGTGTTTATCCTTTCTGCAGACATGGGCAGTGATGCTTTCAGGATGCTGCTTAGATTTGAGTCAAAGACAGACAGAAGGCCAAGAACACAATATAATACCAACCGGTAATGAATCCTCCAGGCGAAGGCCAGCGTAGACGGATCCGAAGCCCCCTCTGCCAATCAGTTCAAGCTGCTTATATTTTCTCTCAAACTCAGCTAAGAGTGAACAGAGAAATCAGCTGATTAGAATAAAGCTGTGAATACTGTCAGATTATTGACTGATATCTATGCTGACGACCTGATTGAATTACAAATACTTTCATAAATATTGAAAACTTTTCAAGTTCTTAAACTGAGTTGAATTTAACTTTGACCATTTGAACCATTTGTGCAGGAACTCTGTTATTTTAACCTGATTATAGCAGCAATTATTCTCTTATTTGAGCATTAGAAATATTCAGAGGCTGTCAATGATTCAGAATCAAGTTCTTTATTCATATGAAGATCATTTTCCCATAAATGGTTCATTAATACTGGATCAAGCGAAACTTTTCCCTCTTCTGTAACTTTTCACCTTCATTTACTCTCTAATCACAAACCAATGAGTTTTATGGGAACTGATGTCAGAGTTGCACATCAAGTAACTGTGAGGTAAAAAAAAATTGATGCATGGTTTTCAGAATTTGATATAAATCTACGCCCTCTGACCAGCTTCCCTGTGCCTGCTAAAGAGGAACAGTCCCACAGCATGACACTGCCACCATCCTACTTTACACTGCCAATGGTTGATTAAGGGGGTTATTACTGTTAGCTCTAGCTTTGCTATTAAAAGCTGTCTGGCTTTGAATTAAACCTTTAAACATAGAAGTTATAACATTTCCTCTCTTAACACTAAAACTGAGAAGGAGTAAAATAGCTTGTCTTTAGCCTAAGCAGAAAAGGGAAGGATGTTTGTGTTCCCACTTCAGGAGTTGCTGAGGTGCATTTATTTCAGTGTTGGGCTCACATTTGTCAGAAACCGAGCTGCTGGTGCCTTGCTCTGCCTCAGAGACTCTCTGCCTCTTCTTAGAGGACTCTTCAGGGACATCGGCCTTTCTCTTCCTCTCCCTAATGGGTTCCAGCTCTTCCTCTGGCTCCCTGAGGCTGATACTGGGGCTGCTTATCTCTATTATGCTGGCTGGTGCCCGTCCAGTAGAATTGCTCTTTCCCTTTTCACAATCAGAATCAGAAATACTTTAATAATCCCAGAGGGAAATTACTTTTGTTACACGCTCCAGTTACAGTTTTATATATCTATGCACACATCCAACAAAACAAGATAATAAAGATAAATATAAAAAAGAGATAAAATATATACACATATAGCTCTTCTGTATATATATATATGTATTTTGGTACTTTTGGTATTTATTTTGGTACCTTTTGGTACTCTCTCACAAACTCTACGGACACAGACTGATCTTGTCCAGCGGTGAGGCGGCTGAAGTTGCTGCAACTCTGTTTGAATAACTTCTTGTTGTCCAACTCTGTGACAGCCTCCGCCTTTCTTTTTCTGCAGCTTGGTTCATCCAGACGGCTGCTGGGTCCAACAGAGACGCTCTGGTTATCTGAAAGAGTTCATTGGACAAATGTTTACACTCTATAGCAGATCTATTTAGGAAGCAATGGAAGAGGATGCAGACTGAGAGAAATCTAAAACCCTCTTTTTAGTTAGAAAACATGAACCACCAAATACTTTGACAAGAAAAAATGACACTTTCCCATGAATCCACTGATCCTGCATCACCAAAGATTCGATAGAATAAATCTTGGCACCAAGGAATTAGATTTAGCAATTTTTGGAGGAAAAAATAATCTAAATAAATAATAAATTTTTTACATAAAGGTAACTAGAAACCTTTAATTGTCAACTGATTTAATGTTTTTCCATTAAATGTAGTTAAACAAGTTTTTTGGATTTTACAATTTAATGAAAGTTCATCAAATAACATCATCATCAATGTGTTACTCAAACACGTCTAATGTTAGTATATTAATATAACACCTCTGCAAAGTTTGGTTCCCTAAAATTTAACTCTGAATTTGCATTCCTGTTTCTTTTTCATATACCTTGAACATCACCTTGCTTTCCAGGGACAAGAGCAGGGGTCTCCATGTTGCTGATTGAGTTTAAAGGCCTCAGTTGTCACAAAAACTCAGATCACGGTGAGACTTTCTGGGGATTTATACCAACAATGTCGATCTAGAAACGATTTGCACTCAGGTACAATTAAGTTCTTGCAGTAAAACCACAGAATATTTGTGTTTTAAAAATCTATCGTCAGGGTGCCCAGCTGTTCCATCCTAAAAATGTTGACATTTGAGAATTTGGCATGTATCCCAGCTGTGAAAAAAATAAATCATAAAAAAATCGGAGAAAACAGCAAAGTTACTCTCAAAACTTTTTCTAAATTAGTTTTTCAAAGTTTTATTCTTGGTTTGCATTACTTTTTGATATTTGTTTAGCAATTCCATTTATGAACGAGTTCATTGACCAAATGTTTACACTCTATAGCAGATCTATTTAGGAAGCACTAATAGAGGATGCAGACTGAGAGAAATCTAAAACCCCTCTTTTTAGTTGTAAAACATGAACCACCAAATACTTTGACAAGAAAAAATGACACTTTCCCATGAATCCACTGATCCTGCATCACCAAAGATTCAATAGAATAAAAACTTGGCAGCAAAGAATTAGGTTTTTGCAATTTCTGGAGGAAAATGCATAATTATCATATTTTTTACATACAAGGTGACTGCAAACCTTTTATTGTCAAACCATGTCATGTTTCTCCAGTAAATGTAGCAGAACATTTTATTGGATTTTATAATTTAATGAACGTTCATCAAATCACAAGAGGAAACTAACTGATTGTGTTTCTCAAACACATCTAATGTTACTACATTAAAGGTATAGCTGTGGATTTTTGCATATTTTTGAAAAGACCTGCCCTCTACACTTAAAAAAACAAATGCACATGCACAACCCTGAACGCAAAGGGGAACAGCTATTAAACACATGCGAGAGCGTGCCTAGCCCATTTCTCCTCGTGCATGCTGTGTTTAAAAGTTTGCATCCCTCATACAAGCTCACTTTCCAAAAGAAGATATGCAATTTTTCTACTATGTTAGACTGAAAATAATTGGAAATGGGGTCGAGCACGCAGGACGGCCCAACTTAAACATATCACCAGAATTATCAACAATTAGGAGGACCACTAACTTTGATGATCCACCTTGAAAAAGAAAATCCTCCACTATACATTTAATATAAGATAACATTTCTGCAACATTTGGTTCCCTAGAATTTAACTCTTGTTATTTTTTATATACTTTAAACATCACCTTGTTTTCCAGAGAGAAGAGCAGGGGTCTCCATGTTGCTGAACGAGTTTAAAGTCCTCAGTTGTCAAAAAAACTCAAATCACGGTGAGATTTTCTGAAGATTTATACAAACGATATCGATCTAGATGCGATCTGCACTCAGGTAAAATGAAGTTCTGACAATCAAACCACAACATATTTCTGTTTAAAAAAACCATCGTCATGGTGCCCAGCTGTCCATCCTAAAAATGTTTACATTTGAGAATTTGGCATTTATCCCAGCTGTGATTCCAGGTAGCTGCCAAATTCTCAAAGCTGTAGTAGGCTATTGGGCTTGGAGTGAAATGAATGGGGTTTGTGACATGTGATTAGAGAAGAATGCAATTGATTAACGTATAGCTGAAAAGGACAAATTGTAAAATTTAAATCTGTTTAAAAACAATTAAAAAAAAAATGGGTGAAAATATAAATTTTGAAAAAATAAATCATACAAAAATAGGAGAAAACAGCAAAGTTACTCTCAAAACCTTTTCTTAATTAGCTTTTCAAAGTTTTATTCTTGGTTTGCATTTCTTTTTGATATTTGTTTAGCATTTCAATTTATGAACAAGTTCATTGGACAAATGTTTACACTCTATAGCAGATCTATTTAGGAAGCACTAATAGAGGATGCAGACTGAGAGAAATCTAAAACCCCTCTTTTTAGTTATAAAACATGAACCACCAAATACTTTGACAAGAAAAAATGACACTTTCCCATGAATCCACTGATCCTGCATCACAAGAGATTCGATAGAATAAAAACTTGGCACCATGGAATTAGATTTTGCAATTTTTGGAGGAAAAAAAAAATAATAATAATAAAAATTTTTTACATAAAGGTAACCACAAACCTTTAATTGTCAACTCATTTAATGTTTTCCCATTAAATGTAGTTAAACAAGTTTTTTGGATTTTACAATTTAATGAACGTTCATCAAATAACAGGATCATCAATGTGTTACTCAAACGCGTCTAATGTTAGTATATTAATAAAACACCTCTACAACGTTTGGTTCCCTAAAATTTAACTAAATTTGCATTCCTGTTTCTTTTATACCTTGAACATCACTTTCCAGACACCAGAGCAGGTGTCTCCATGTTGCTGACCGAGTTTAAAGGCATCAGTTGTCAAAACCTCAAATCACGGTGAGACTTTCTGGGGATTTATACCAACGATGTTTATCTAGGAGCGATCTGCACATGCACAATCCTGAACCCAAGGGGGAACACCTATTAAACATAGTGGAAAAATTGCAAATCTTCTTTTGGAAAGTGAGCTTGTATGAGGGATGCAAACTTTTAAAAAGAGCGTGCAGGAGCCCATTTCTCCTCGTGCACGCTGTGTTTAAAAGTTTGCATCCCTCGTACAAGCTCACTTACCAAAAGAAGATATGCAATTTTTCCACTATGTTAGACTGAAAATAATTAGAAATGGGATCGAGCACGCAGGACGGCCCAACTTAAACCTTTTTACCAGAATGATCAACAATTAGGAGAACCGCTTACTTTAATGATCCACCCGGAAAATAAAATCCTCCACCATACCTTTAATATAAGATAACTCTGCTGCAACGTTTGGTTCCCTAATTTAACTCAGAATTTGCATTCCTGTTTCTTTTTCATATACTTTAAACATCACCTTGCTTTCCAGAGAGAAGAGCAGGGGTCTCCATGTTGCTGATCGAGTTTAAAGGCCTCAGTTGTCACAAAAACTCAGACCACGGTGAGACTTTCTGAAGATTTATACCAACGATCTAGATGCGATCTGCACTCAGGTAAAATGAAGTTCTGACAATCAAACCACAACATATTT